GGGGGGGCAGTGCTGGACGAGGGTCACTTACCCCGCATGCTCTGGGCTGCTCACTCCCGTGACAGACAGGCTCTGCCCTGGTGGGGGGGCTGGAGAAGCGCCACTGCTGGGGGGTGGCCCGGGGCTCCAGCTGGCCCGGTTCGCCCTGATGCACTGCGGGAGGCTGTTTTCGGTGTTTTCCCATCCATAGTTAACTGGCCTGGAGGTTGGCATCGCCCCGCTGGCCGAGGAGCCAAGTTGCAGCCAGCACCTCCTGCCCCCTTCCTGCCCGCTGGCCCTGCCACACCTCCCCAGGGCAGGGCAGGGCAGGTGGGCTCCTCCTGGGGCCGAGAGCGCCCCAGGCTCAGACAGGTGATGTGACGAAGTGGGACTGTTCTTAATGTTTCCTCTGAATACTGTGTGGGTGCCTCAGTTTCTGACCGACACTCTGTCTCCTGGCAACTAATGGCCAGGCCCTTCCCCCCTGCAAGGGGATGCTAAAGGTGTGGGAGAACAAAGAGGTCAGGGGACCTCCTGGCCCGGGAAAGAGACCAAGGCCAGAGAGGAAGGGCTGGAAGGGGTTTCAGTTTGGAGCTGGCTGGGGACGGGGAGTGAGGGAGACGGGGGTGTCGGGCTCGCTGGGCCCCACAATGGACCCAGCTGAGGGGTCCTGTTCTCTGGACCTACAAGCTCTGTTTTAGACCATGTGCCTGTCATTGAATAAACCTGTTTTACTGGCTGGCTGAAAGTCACGTCTGACTGCGAAGTGGGGGTGCAGGACCCTCTGGCTCCCCCAGGACCCCACCTGGGCGGACTTGCTGTGGGAAGCGCACGGAGGGGCATATGCTGAATGCTCCCAGGTCAGACCCAGGAGGTGAAGCCGTGTGAGCTTCTTGCCCTGAAGACAGTCTGCTCCATGGGAGAGGAGGCTCCCCAAAGTCCTGCCTGGCTTTGTGGGGAGCAGTTCCAGAGCATCGCCCGGGGACTCGGTGACAGGTGGGACCAGAGCCTGAGCCACCCAGAGGGCATCTGCAGCACCCGATCCCTGGCTCCCTCGGGCCCTAGCTTGGCAAGATGCCCTTAGCTCATCCCCTAGCTTGAGCACTGGCTCAGTCCTGTGTGTGTGTGGGGGGGGGGAGACATGCCAAGCGGGCTCCAGGGCCCTGCGTCTCCAGGCCTGCTCGTAACAGGGCTTGGTGATGGAGCTTGGCTGGCATCACCGGCAAACAGTCGCCTCCCAGCAGGGCTGGTGAGTGGCCGGGAGGCAGGGCGTGGGGGAGGGGGTCTCCGGGGGTGTGTGTGCTGGGCTGTGGGGGGGGCGGAGGAAGATCTTCATGTGTTGGGGCACTAGGGAGTGGGGGTTCTGTGGGGGGTGCTGGGCATTTGTGTGTGGGGTCGGGGGGGCGCTGGGCATAGTGGGTCTGGGGGGGCTCTGGCCATAGGGAGTTGGGGGGGGGTGTTGGGCGGGGGAGCTGTGTGGCACGGCATAGGCCCACCCCCGAGGGGAAGGGACATGCTGGCAGCACAGGGCCAGGCGGGCCATTGTGCGTCTGGCAGCTGCCGGTCTGTAAATAGTGCCCTCGCGCTGGGCTGGGTGGAGCGGGGCCGCCCCTACCAGGCCGTGCCCCATTGCCCCTGGCCAGCCCTTGCTCTGGGGACTGACCTCCCCGTGCCAGGCTCCACTGCCTACATGGGGGGCCACACATATGTTTGACGCTGAGCCCAGTAAAGGTTAATCCGGCCCCGCCCCGAGGTGGCGATTTGTGGCCTGCAGGTTTGGCCGGCAGCAGGCCCCCATGCACGGGGAGGGGAGGACTGTCCGGTGTGGGGAACGGGGCCTTGGCCGAGCGGCTGGCCCCGAGCCGGAGGAGGCTGGGCCCTCGTGTGCGCTGCTGGCCAGCTGGGCTCCGGCTCCCCCTCCCCCCTTTGGCAGCAGGCGGCTCGCTGACAGCTGTGTACGCTTGTGTCTCCGGGCCGCTGCGGCTCTGGCCAGCGTCACTCAGCCCATCCAGACCGGCTGAGGAATGAGGCACTGGGACAGCAGGGGGAGGGGAGCTGGGCCTAGTGCTCACTGCGCTCTGCCCTGATCCCAGCTGCCAGCGCCCCATATGGCCCCGTAGCGAGTGGGGTGGGCCTGTGGGACGGCCTGGGCCTGCAGAGTGGGGCCAGCCTCTGGGGGGTTCTGTCCGGGGGTTCCTGCCTGCAGTGCCCTGCCCTCTCTATCGCCCCTGCCCGGGGTCGGGTTCCCCTTGGCCTCCTGGCTGGGTATGTGAGTGGGGGGGGTCCCTGGCAGGACAAGGGAATCGCACCCACTTCCTCCTGCCTGGGCACTGGATGGACAGTGCCTCTGTCCTACACGCTGGCTCCAGTCTGGGCTCTGTGCCCCGTCCCTGCCTGTTCCCCTCTAGGGGTGAGCTCTGTGCTCGGCCCATGTCCCTGCAGCGAGGGCTGGGCCGGGGAGGGAGTGGGTGCCGTCCGCCTTGCTGCTGGGCACCATTGGCTCTGCCCAGCCCCCTGCCGGCTGCTGACTGAGGGGCTGGCCTGGCAGCCTGGGGCCTGAGAGCTCATGTTTGCTCCCCTAACGCTGCATGTCCGGGAGGAGCTGCACGGGGCCCTGTGGGGCTGTCAGAAGTCTATGGGGTCCGGGCTGCACCTCCGCTTTCAAACAGTCCCTGGCAGGAACCCCAGGGATCCCCCTCCATGGCAGGCCACATGGCCTCCCCACCTCCGAGACGGAGCCTCTGGGCTCCAGCCCTCCTGCTTCAACCTGCAAATCCCACTGAGCTGGGCTCCTGGGGGGGCCTTGTCTACTCCGCAGGGACCCGTGCGCTCAGCCAGGACCTGCAGCGACACCAGGCAGCCCTTCCCCCCAGAGCAGGTGTGTCAGTCAACTGGACCCAGCACCGGGAAGCCCAGAGAGGCAGCGGCTCCGGACTGCCCAGGCCAGTTCTCCCCGCATGTGGCCAGGAGCTGCAGCATCCGGCTTGGTTGCCTCTGGGCACAGCTGCACCCCTGCAGCGCTTTACCGAAGATGCTCTCTGCTGCTGGGAAAGTGTAGTTAATCCACCTCCCTGGGGAAGCTCTCCCACCGTAGCGCCGTCTGCATGGGGTAGGGACCCTTCCAGCCGCTCGCCTGAGTGCCCCCCTTCCCCCCCGAGGCTCTTGCCCATCGCTGGGACCCTGCTGCCCCCCCCCATGCTGGAACGCTGCCTCCCCCTGTGGGGGGCTGGCATCACCGCTTGTCCCTGTGGCATTGCACTCTATATGATTTTATAAAAATATGCTAATGAGTGAATATAATGTAACTGGAATATGCTTCATGCAAAAGGTCTCTTGTAAGGTATCATTACAAAGCTTATAATCTACTGAGTGTGATCATCCTATTTGTATAAATGTACCACTCTTGTATCGGGGACTAGAAATATGAAATATAACGCTGAGGGCCTATTGTAATTATGCAAAGTGTGGGCCATTGATGGTGGTTTGCAATCTTGATGACTCCCATTAACCAGGACCATTGTCTGCAGATGGCTGTGTTTTACCTGTGAGTCTTCCTGTATACCTGTGTGCTGTCAAGGGGGTAATGAAGTCCTGCAGTGACATGTGATCATGTCACCTGAACTAGAATCCATCTTTAACCTGCTGTCTTTCCATTGAGAGGGAGGGGTGGTGTCACGGAGTGGGGGGACGTCAGGGCCCTGCACCCTTCTTCCTGCGATTCACCGGGACTCTCAGCCAGACGGTAAAACGAAAGGTTTATTGGACAGTAGGAACGCAGTCTGAAACAGGGCTTGTAGGTACAGCCAGGACCCCTCAGTCAAGTCCTTGTGGGGGCAGGGAGCTTAGACCCCAGCCTGGGGGTTCCCTGCGTTGCACCACCCAGCCCAAAACTGAAACCAAAAACTCCTCCAGCAGCTCTCTCCCCCTCCCCCTGCTCCTCCTCTCCTTTATCCAGTCTCCCGGCCAGAAGGTGTCACTTCTCCCAACCCCCTCCTGGCTCAGGTTACAGCTCAGGTAGCTTCCTTCCCATCCCCCATGTAACTCCCCTGCAACATTCCCAGGTCAAATCCGCCCTGGTCCCTGTTGCGTCACAGGTGGGAACCCAGAGAGGGACAAAGGGTTCCCCCCTTATGCAAAAGATATATACATGGGTAGAACAGAACAAAGGGGGGAGAGGAGCCATCATGAAGAATCCCCTAGCTACCACCTGAGCTGGAACAAGAGCTGTTCTAGAGGGCGAACAATGTATGCGTTTACCCTGTATAAGCTTTATACTGAGTAAAACGGATGTATTTGGGTGTAGACTGCATGTTCCCCCCCACCCCACTGAGTTGACAAAAGTGGGCATTTGTCCCGTTTCCTCTTGCCAACTGGTGAAGTGCGCAACAGCAAACAGGCCAAATGCCTCCTTTTGGGGAAAAAAGTCGGGACAACCGGGACAGGGCTTAGAAAAGGGACTGTCCCAGCCAAAACGGGTGTATGGTCACCCTAGCATGGGGGGTTAGGTCGGTGTGACTGTGTCGCTCAGAGGTGTGGCTGTTTCACAGCTACAGCCTGCCCTGAGTACCTGTGTCTGTCACTCTCTGGGGACAGCCTGTGTCACTGAGCTCAGACACCCGACACTGGGCATTGTCCTTGGCAGAGCCCTGCTGAGCTCCCTGCTCGCTGGCTGGAGCTTCCTGCTGGGGGGTGTCAGATGTCCAGTCCTGGGGGTTCCCCGAGTTCCCTTTGATATGAGCTCCTTCTAGGCAGTCTTCACAGCCCCACTCAGTAGGTGACCCAGGCATCTTCCTCAGGAGCACCGTACCCTTCTGTGCCCACCCAGGGTACCCGCCCGGCAGCAAGCCCTGCTCACCTCAGTCACTGCCGGGCACAGCATTCATTGAAACATCACAGAAAGTGCCCTGTTGGTCACAGCTCCCCTGTGACCTGGCCGTGGGGCGCTGGGGCTGTGAGCCGGGCCGTGGGGTGCTGGGGCTGTGGGCTCTCAGTGGGGTGCTGGGGCTATGAGCGGGGCCGTGGGTCGTTGGGGCTGTGGGCTGTCAGTGGGGCGCTGGGGCTGTGAGCTGGGCCGTGGGGTGTTGGGGCTGTGAGCTCTCAGTGGGGCGCTGTGAGCTGGGCCATGGGGTGCTGGGGCTGTGGGCTCTCTGGGGCGCTGTAAACCAGGCCGGGCTGTGGGTCGCTGGGGCTGTAAGCTCTCAGGGGGGCGCTGTGAGCCCGGCCATGGGTCGCTGGGGCTGTGGGCTCTCAGTGGGGCGCTGCTCCCAGTGCTACGTCATTATTAGGCAGTTGCAGGATGGATGGTTCTCCCACCTTTGGACTTGTGGGGCCGGGGCCTGGGCCAAATCCTGTTTCAGGGTTAGTGATGCCTTTGCCTGGTCAGGCCCCACTCCCATTGCCGCCCTTTCTGTGGGAGAAAGCCCCATGGGCAACATTTCAGTGACATCTCTCAAGAAGTTCAGGTTCCCAAAAGGGCTCTTAAAGATGCCACATCAGTCGGGGTGGGAAGTTTTCCAATCAGTTCCACCCGTTGTGCGTCTGGGGTTCGTCCCTCTGTTCCCAACATGACCCCTGAGTATTTTACCTCTTGCTGTGCCAGCTGGGCCTTGGCTCTGCTAGCCCGGAATCCGGTATCTTGGATGATCTGTAACATCTGCTCAGTGATCCTACCAACCTCCTCCCTGTAGTCCCCAGTGTGACGATGCGGTTCTGGCGGAACCCAACTGAGAGTGCCAACTCAGGACAAATTGCTCAAACAGGGCAGTTACAGCCCAAGGCTGGGGTTTTTTCCACCTCTAAGGCAAACCAAACCAGCCAGACTAGGAGGACTTCGGTCTCACCCCACTGGCTAACCGCAAGTCTCACCAGCAATCTCCTTAGACACTCCAGTTTCCCAGTATCACCACCAGTGCCACTCGTTATGGGGACAAATGGTTATGAAAACCAAGACCCCAGTAAAAGAAAAAGGTTCTCCTGATCCCAAAGGACCAAGCCCCAGACCCAGCTCAATATACGAATCAGATCTTACCCACAAATCACGCTGTTGCCAATCCTTTAGAATCTAAAATCGAAAGGTTTATTGATAAAAGAAAAAAGATAGAGATGAGAGTTAGAATTGGTTAAATGGAATCAATGACATACAGTAATGGCAAAGTTCTTGGTTCAGGCTTGCAGCAGCGATAGAATAAACTGCAGGTTCAAATTAAGTCTCTGGAATACATCCCCCGCTGGGATGGGTCATTCAGTCCTTTGTTCAAAGTTTCAGCTTGTAGCAAAGTCCTTCCAGAGGTAAGAAGCAGGATTGAAGACCAAATGGAGATGAGGCATCAGCCTTATATAATCTTTTCCAGGTGTAAGAACACCTCTTTGTTCTTACTGTGGAAAATTACAGCAAAATGGAGCCTGGAGTCACATGGGCCAGTTCCTGCATACTTTGCTGAGTCTGAAGGCATATTGGCCTTCTCTCAGTGGGTCCATTGTATAGCTGATGGTCCTTAATGGGCCATCAAGCAGGCTAGGCAGAACTAATCCCAGCTTGTCTGGGATGTCACCCAGAAGCATAGCATAAGTTTGCCATACAGACAGTATAGAGCCAATATTCATAACTTCAACTACAAAACTGATACACACATACAGATAGCATAATCATAACCAGTAAACCATAACCTTGTCTTAGACACCCCATTTGACCCCCTTTATACAAGATTTGGGTGCCACTACAGGACCTTGGTTGCAACAATGATCTATATGGTCCCAGTTTATGTCAATAACGTCACACCCAGGCACCCGTATATCATCAACGTAAGAAATTACTCTTTTTAGGGCTTCAGGTGTCAATTTTCCCCACATTTTAACCACATGGGAGGGACAAATTGCAGGTGTGTTATGAAAACCCCGGGGTGTCACGGACTCACAGGTCGTGCCCACTCTTGGCCCCATGCAGTCCGTGGGGGGTGCCCCTTTCAGTGCGACAACCCTTCTCGGGGGTCCATCTCTCTCGGGGTCAGGCCCCTCCACCTCCTGGAGCCGCACCTCTCGGAGCCTTAGCACGTCTGTCTCTGCTGTGGGCCCCCTCAGGGAGTCCCCTCGCTCTGGGCCCCCGGGGCCTCCACCCCCCGAAGGGGTTGATGCCCCCTGTTCTCTAGACCAGTGTGACTCTTAGCCAGCGTAAAACAGGAGGGTTTAGTGAGTGTTGAACACAGCACAGGAAACTCTCAGGGCCTCAGGCCTGGCCTCCCTCAGCCCAGCACACCCCAGTCTCTCAGCATCCAGGTGGGCTCTGCCTGCTCCCCCTCTCCAGTCCCGAGCCCCCTTGCTTCCCAGCTGGGCATCTGAGATCCCCGGCCCCAGGCCCCGCCTCTGTCCATTGTCTTCTCTCCAGGTAAACAGGGTCGTAAACCGGATCGCCTGGGCCTCCTCTCCTCTCTTCTGTCCTCTGGCCCCTCTGGCTGGAACTGCCTGGTTAGGTCACCAGGGTCCTCTCTTTACAGCCCATTGTCCTCATAGACTTTAAGGTCAGAAGGGACCATTATGATCATGTAGTCTGATCTCCTGCACAACGCAGGCCACAGAATCTCACCCACCTACTCCTGTAACAAACCCCTAACCTATGCCTGAGTTATTGAAGTCCTCAAATCATGGTTTAAAGACCTCAAGGTGTAGAGAATCCTCCAGCAAGTGACTCGTGCCCCACGCTGCAGAGGAAGGCAAAAAACCTCCAGGGCCTCTGCCAATCTGCCCTGGAGGAAAATTCCTTCCTGACCCCAAATATGGCGATCAGTTAAAACCTGAGTATGTGGGCAAGACTCACCAGCCAGCACCCAGGAAAGAATTCTCTGTAGTAACTCAGATCCCATCTCATCTAACATCCCATTATGG